TTGTTGTTAAGTGCTGTCTTTATAGACATATAAGGAGAAAGAGGAGAGGAAATGTAAACTGGTTTTTTCCCTGGAAGCTAATACAGGAAAGTATAAACAACAATCACTTGTGAGGGGAAGGACTATGAGTTAGGGGAAGTTTAGGAGCATGAGAGGGGGTCTTCTTTCATCATGCCTAAAAGAGACCACTGGCAGCTGGGGTCCCAATAGCCACCGGCAGCTGTCTCACTGGTTGTTACAGAGTCTCTAAAGGTGGAGCACCCGGGGCCCAGCAACAGAAGCCAACGATGCAGCACCTGCCGCTGACCTACCACCGGACATGTCCAGTTCCTTACTGAAAGGACAAAAAAGTTGCTTCCGAGAGTTTTCTGTTATTTACGGACACAAGAATCCCACTGGACAGTTTACACTGAGTGGGGAATGAAAGATGGGATTCACATCCTTAGAGAATGCCAATGAGGACTCAGGAGGTGGCAGTGGGGGAGACGCAGACTGATGTAAGAATGTTCAAAATTGTGAGGAGGACCAAACTGTGACAGAGAGACATAAAGTGTGCACACGCCACAATTGGTTTGTCAAAAAGGTTGTATCTGTGAAAAGCAATAGAACGGGGTCTGCCTGGAGAACTGCTCCAGGAGGCTCGCAGGCGGGAATGGTGATGGAGACAGACTGCCCACCTCTTGTTCCACGGACCCTTCAGTTAGCAGCTGAGCACTTAGCATAGCACCACCAGGCTCCTTCATGGAGATTTTAAACAGGGGGATGTGCACCAATTCACAGCCTGCCAACGGGAACACCTGTCATCTCCTGGTTTCTGTGTGAATTACAAGTACCCAGTCACAAATGGTTAAGCGTTTGGCTGCTAACCAAAAGGTTGGAGGTTTGCATCTACCCAGAGGACCCTTGAAGGAAACGCTGGACAACCTAGTTCCAAAACCCAGCCATTGAAAACCCTCCAGGGCACAGTTAAACTCCGATATGCATTTCAATGGTAATGGGCTTTTTTAAAAAAAAATCACATCCAACAGGTATTTTTTAAAAGCAAGTGCTCTTTTTGGGAGGGGGGTGCTGAGAACAAACACAAACATGCAAGTATCCATTGTCCGGTTTCCAGGTTCAATCTACAAACCACAAGGTTAGGTGGTGAGCAGGCCCCCCACTGTTAAGATCCACCAGTAGACACAGCCGGCAGTCACACGACACTCTCTCTCGGCACTGTGGTCACCTACCTGTGGTCAGCACTGGGCCTCTGCCTCCCGTTCCAGACTCTTCTGTTCACTAAGGGCGGGGGTGGTGAAGAAGGCAGGGGTGGGGGTGCACAGGAGGGCAGGGGAGGCAGGCTTCTCTTCTCTCTCAGTGTGCTGTGGCCTGGTGGCCCTGCCCTGTTCCCTTCTCCCTGGACCCTGTCCCCTTCTCCCTCGTGTTTGAACGTTCTCCGGGGCTTGGGCAGGGGGTTGATGAAGGACCTCGGGGGAGATCCCTCATAGGCTCCATACACGCTCTCCAGGCTCTGGTCCCAGGGTCTGATACGCTCCCAAGCACCTGTGCGGCTTTCTGGACGACTGGACTCATCTGCCTTATCGGGCAGGCAGTGCGGGGAGTAGCAGGTCCCGGGGAGCTGGGGGTCCAGCCCCGCTGAGCCATCCTTCAAGGCCTGCTCTAGCCTCCTGACCTGCCTCAGCACCGACAGGTTGTCCTTCGAGTACTGCTGCATGCCGGGGCCCCCACCTGGCCTCTGGGCTGCCGGTGGTCCTGCATTTCTCCCTGACCCTTGGCTCCAGACACGCTCTGTGCTCTCTCTGTCTGGCCGGTCACTGGCCTGGGGCTCAGGGGTCCACATCCTCATCCCATCACTGCCCCTCCTTCGCTCCAGAATGCCGGCTGCGGTGTCCGTCTCATGTCCGTCCACTTTCCTGCCCATACCGGGGGCGGATGGCTCCCTTTTGCCTTCCCACTCTGAAATCTTGTCCTTGATGTTAAGGGACGCATGCCGGACCCTGTTTCCGGAAATGGGGCGCAAGTTGGGGGCCCTGCCGGTGTCCCCTGCCCGTAGCTCAGGGGCCGGGCCACTCAGGACCACGGCTGGGCTGGGCATGCTTGGTTCTGGCAACAGGCTGTGGAAACTCCAGGGTGGGTTCCTTCTGAGGGGCGACTCTTGCTTGGTCTCCAGGTAATAGGGGGGAGGCCACAGTTCCCAGAGCAGTGGTTCTCACTGGAATGTCTCAACAGCTATGTTCAGGGGTCTCTCCCAGCCCTTGGACCTTCCACCTTGACCCTGAATGAGAAAGACAAAACACTGGTAAGGGAGATGCATGATGCAGGACTAGCCCCACAGGCTGGTTCTGGACATCTGTTAGAACTTACACAGAAATAAATGCCACATGCTAGTTGCGGACTGAAACCATGAGTTAGGGGAAGTTTAGGAGCATGAGAGGGGGTCTTCGTTCATCGTGCCTAAAAGAGACCACTGGCAGCTGGGGTCCCAATAACCACCGGCAGCTGTCTCACTCGTTGTTACAGAGCCTCTGAAGGTGGAGCACCCAGGGCCCACACCCACAGACACATAAAAGTTTGACAGGGTATTTGTACATGGGTATTTGCTTTTGCTGCTAACATATCCATGAATGGAGCTTTGTTGTTGTTGGTAGGTGCCATCGAGTTGGTACCGACTCATAGCGACCCTATCACAACAGAATAAAACACTGTCCCATCCTGGGCCAGCCTCACAATTGCTGCCACACTTGAGCCCACTGATACTGCCATTTTGCCAATCCTCTCGCTGAATGGAGCATATAGGTGGCAAAATTATGAGAAGTTCTTAAACATTACCAAACACCTGAGGGGATGAGTTGCTGGGCCTAGGGGTTCAGGACCATGGACTCAGAGGACACTGTGGTCAATCTGCATAACGTAGTCCACAAAGACAATGTTCTACATCCTACTTTGGTGAGTAGTGACTGGGACCTTAAAAGCTTACGAGTAGCCATTCAAGGTGCAACTATTAACCTGTTCCTACCCAGAGGAAAGAAGAGTGGTGGAAATCAAAGACACAGACACAATGAGTCCGATGGACTACTGGACTGTGAGAACATCAGTCTCCACAGCCCTGAGACCAGAAGACCTAGATGGTGTCTGGCTACTTCTACCAGCTGCCCTGAAAGGAATCACATTAGAAGTTCCCAGATAAGAGTGGGAGAAAATGTAGACCAAAACTCAAAAAAACATCAGGTTTACTGGTCAGATAAAGACTGGTGGATCCCAGGACTATGGTCACTGGTCACCCTTCAGGTCTGGAACTGAACTCACCCCTTCAGCTTGATTTTCAGCCAAGCTATAGACGGCATTGTAGGATAAGCACTAGACCGAAAGGTCGGTTTGAACTGCAAAGTTGGAGGTTCAAACTCACAAGCCACTCCTTGGAAACTCAATGGCACTTAACAACAACAACATAGATAGGTATGTTGTGGGGAAACAACATTAGTGAGGTTGTTGTTGTTAAGTGCCATCAAGTTGGTTCCGACCCACAGTGACCCTGTATGGGGTTTCCAAGGAGCAGCTGGTGAGCTTGAATAGTCGACTTTGTGGCTCAAACCAACTTTGCAGTCCAGCGCTTAGCCCACCGTGTCATACCTTGCACACACAAAAAAGGTTAACAATTAGAGGATCAAAGGAACAGCATTTACCATAGGACAAAGTCTAGAAGGCTGGGAGAAGAACAGTGGAGACAGGAAACACAAGAGGAGGGACAAGCGATGTCACCCGATGAAACAATGTATACGATTGGTGGACTATAAAACCGATGGTCTGCTCTGTAAACCTTCACTCAATTCACAGTAAAGAACTAAAATACAAATACATAAAATGACCCTTGATGCTTTTCTTGGGGAGACAGCACTGCGAGATGAAAGGAGGTTGGGGTCTGGAATCTGGCAGGGCTGAGGAGAAGTCCTCATTCAACCTCTGACCAAGCTACACCTCAGTTTCCTCCTCTGTAAAATGGGAGTACTAATAGCATATAACTGGAGTCCTAGTGTAGTGCTGTGGACTGCAAAGTTTAACGGCAAGGTTGGCGGTTCAAGCTCACCAGCTGCTCCTTGGAAACCCTATACAGGGTCCCTATGGGTCAGAATTGACTCAACGGCACTTAACAACAACATGGGGTTGCTATGAGTCAGAATGGATCAAAGACAGTGGGTCTGATCTTTGGTTTTAACAGCACATATTTCCCCAGGGTCCTAAAGGCAGCACGTACTGGACCATGCAATGAACAGGACTATCAGGAGTCGTGTCAGAGGTAGAAATTTGCACAAAGTTCTCCCGGCATCTGATATCAAACGGGACAGGGGATAAGGGAGAGTTTGTAAGCAGCGAGGGGAGGAAGGACAAGGAGGCTGCGTGTATGTCCACGCATTAGAGGGGAGATGACCCGGGACTCCTGTCTCCTGCAGCCCCTGTCCCTGAGGGGGCTCCAGCCTGGAGTGAGGAGCCAGGGGCTGTGTATAATGTGAGGGTGACAGGGGCCAGCTCCGAGCTGGCGGTAGGCAAGCAGAGCTGCTGAGGTTTGGGACCCAGAAGTCAGTAACTTACTGAGCATCCCAGCACTGAATAGAACGCAGGGGTGGAGACAAGGCCTGCTAGACACCTGGCCCTGTTTGTTTGGTCCACATTCACCATGATGCAGGGCACAGCCTGCAGGGACTCAGGAAACCAACCTGGGAAATAAGACGAGGCGAACTGAAACCCCCCCACCCCCCAACAAACAACAGAAGCCAACCAACTGCCACTGTCCCAGCGGGACTCACAGTGACCCCACATAGTACACTGCCCCACCTGGACTCACAGTGACCCCCACACGGCACAGTACACTGCCCCACCTGGACTCACAGTGACCCCACACAGTACAGTACACTGCCCCACCTGGACTCACAGTGACCCCACACGGCACAGTACACTGACCCAGAGGGTTATAAATCTTGACAGAAGCACACTGCTCCAGGTTTTCTCCTGTGGAACAGCTGGTGGGTTTGAACCACCAACCTTTAGATTAGCAACCTATAGTGTAACCTACTGTGTTAACAGGGTTCCCTAAACAACACAAACACAAACCCAAATCCATTGCTACTGAGTCAATTACGACTCATAGTGACCCTACACAGAGTGTCTGAGACTGTAAATATTTATGAGCGCAGAAAGCCTCAGCCTTCTCCTGAGGAGTGGCTGGTGGGTTTGAACTGCCAACTTTGTGGTTAGCAGCCCAGCCCTTATCCTACGTACAAAACCACCAGAGCTCCTTCGTTACCCAGCAGACAGGCTATAGACTGAACACCATCACCCGTGAGGAACATGCTCACAACCGACCACACAAGACCAAAAGGTCAGCATTTACCTAAAACCCCAGCTCAGTAGGTAGGAGAGGGAAAGAAAGAAGGGCGATGGCAAGGGGCAGCCAGGGAGGAAGCGGGAAGAGTGTTTTTACATTGAGGGAAATGCAATCAAGTTCACAAAACAAAATGTGGATAAACTGCCAAACGGAAAACTCATTTGCTCTGCAAACTTTCACCCAAGCCACAATATAATGTAAAGAATGAAAAAATAAAAATAAAACAAAATTAGTGACATAATGATAATAAAAAAAGTTAAAAACGACCCGGAAAAGGGTCCCTGTTCGTTCTTGGAAGCAGGGTGTATGAGGAGGGCAGCAGGGAAGGGGAAGGCGGGAACCTGGCAGCACTCAGCTCACCGGTGCCCTTACTTGGGGGCCGACCTGTAGTTCTGGCTCGTGGTCCAGCGGTGGCACCCTTGGAGGTCCTGCACCCCGTCATCCTGTCAGCTCTGGGTGAGTCTCCAGGTCACCTGGGGGACAGATGCATGTGAACTAGCGCAGGGAAACGGATGCAGGCGCTCGCCCCACATGACCCATCCAACCCTGATGGAATGCGCCCACTCTCTGTGCCCAGGGGTGGACGGACAGTCAGAGTCCCGAGTGCCACACTTCAGAGCCATGCCAACCTCTTCCCATTATGTGTTTGAGTTAAAGTCACCAAGAACTGTAGGCAAACATCTAACTGCTGAAGAAGACACCACTTTAGCCTTTACTCTTGACCTTTCATGGAAATGAAAAGCACGTGACTTAGCAGGTCTGGGAAGAGTTTAAACCATTAGGTAAGTGACAACTCGCCACAGAATACAGACACAAACTTCAACCAAACCAGACCACATCTTGCCAGTCATTTCACATGCCCCTCTGGGTACTCTCCTAACAGGCTGTGTTATATAGAAACCCCCATACGGGGGTCCATTCCGAGTCCCCAACAGTGGAAGGGACCCACTGTGCAGTCCCTCGGGGGTGTGGACTATACCACAGGACACTGTCAGAGGTAGTGACATCAAAATGACCATCAATAAAATGTTGTCTAGTGTTTCAGCAGAAATTTATGATTTTTTATAAAATAATAAATTTTAAAAGCAATTTTTTATAAAAATATCCCACAGTCTTTGGTATGGGTTGTACCTCAGTGTAAAGAAAATAAAAATCCTCACCACTGTAGTAATACATAACCATCATGATAAACGCAGAAAAGATTGAAGTTGTCAGACTTCATTTTGCTTGGACCCACCATCAATGCTCACGGAAGCAGCATTCAAGAAATTAAATGACGTACTGCATTAGGCAGATCTGCTGCACAAGACCTCTTTAAAGTGTTCAAGAGCAAAAATGTCATTTTGAGGACTAAGGTGCGCCTGACCCAAGCCATGGTATATTCAATATCCTCGTATGCATGTGAAAGTTGGACAGTGAGTAAGAAAGACCATAGAAGAATTGACGCATTTGAGTTACGGTGTTGGAGAAGAATATTTAGTGTAGTGGTTACGAGTCGGGCTGCTAATCTCAAAGTCAGCAGTTCAAAACTACCAGCTGTTCTGTGGGAGAAAGATAAGGCTTTCTGCTCCCGTAGAGTGTTATAGCCTTGGAAACCCTATACAGGGTCACTATGAGTCAGAACCGACTCCACAGCACACCACCATCACCACCACCATCATGGTCTGCCAGGAGAACAGACAAACCTGTGTTGGAAGAGGAAGGCTCCTTAGAAG